TGTCTGTAATCTTAGCCAGGAGAGGTTCCAGGCCAGGTTATGTATTACACGATATTCTGTCTAAAAAAAAAGAGAGAGGAGGAGAAAAGAGAGGGAGGGAGGGAGGGAAAGGAGGCTTTGAGATGGCTCGGCTGGTAAAGGATGGTCATCATGGATACATATACACATGCAGGCAAAACATTTATACATATAAAAAAAATCTGAAAAACAATTTAAATAAAGAACAACAGCAAAAAGATATAATAATGGAACACATCTGTAATCCCAGCACCCCTATATCAAGTTGGAAGGCAGAGTCAGAAAAATTACCCAGAAGCTCAGGGGCCAGCCAGTCTGGAGTACACTGTGTAAGACAGAACAAGAGAGATCTTGCTTCAGCAAGATGGGAGAGAACTGACTCCTGAAGACTGTCTTCTGACCTCCATGTGGGCTGCCATGGCACATAAAATGGACACACAGGCACACGTGCATAAAGGCTGGCAGTACTCCATCTAGTTATTGCCAAGCTCACTGTTCCTTTGCAGTGTACTCTAGAAATCTGTTAAAATAAAAATAAAAACAAACCTGGAAGAAAAAAAAAAGGAAGAAAGAAAAAAGAAACTCAAAATTTTAATCTGCAGGAAACTTCCAAATTTCAGGTTCCCATTAATTGGGACCCCATCAAATTATAACAAAAGCCAAACCTAGCTTACTCTGTCCATCCAACACAAGTCTGTTGCTTATTATTTTTCTTTGTTTTTGTTTTTCAAGACAAGGTTTCTCTGGCTGTCCTGGAACTCGCTCTGTAGCCCAGGCTGGCCTCAAACTCACAGAGATCTGCCTGCCTCTGCCTCCTGAGTGCTGGGATTAAAGGTGTGTGCCACCAAGCCTGGCTACTACAGAATTCAATATGATCTTGGCAGCAAAACTACAACTGATATGATCTTGGCTGCACTTACACAGTGGTTAGGAACGACTGGTAGACCTTTGTTTCTGGCAATCAACCTGACATCTTTGCCATAATGAGTATTGAAGTAACAAATACGCAGTGGCACTTGTCGAAGCATGGTAAGGAATATTTTTAGGTTTAGGGAACGCTAAAATGTAGTGGTGAAAGGTTGAGGATCAACTGTGAACAAAGCATGTACAAGTTGGAATTCACAGACAAAAAAAAAAAAACAGATGTCAATAGATAGAAAATCACTAAATGGAATTTATAAGGGCTAAGGAGGTTCTGGTTAAACTGACCTAAAGAGAGTCTTGTTGAGTCAGGCACACTGAGCTTCTAAAGGAATGTGCTCAGGTAGCAATTGTGTTGGGGGTGGGTAGCCTTGCTAAACTGATTTAGCAGATTGTACAAGGAAGTAAACAGGTTTAGGAGAAGGTTCAAGAGCTGGACTAAAGATTAGCCAAGCAAAGAATCTTGGCCAGACCTAAATGGTCCAGTTTTAGCAAGAATCCTGCTATGTCAGTTTAGGAAGAATTTTCCAGCTTTGGTAACTGATCACTTGATAGTTAATCTAATCCCTCCTCTCCTACCCATTGCTATCTGGTCATTAACTCTGGCTTGTTCTCCGCAAGAATTATATCTGGCTGAGGAGTGGTGGCACAAGCCTTTAATGCCAACACACTGAGGAGGCAGAAGCAGGCAGATCTCTCTGAGTTCGAGGTCAGCCTGGTGTACAAAGCAAGTTCTAGGACAGCCAGGGTTACACAGAAAAACCTTGTCTTGAAAAATCCACCAGAAGAAAAAAAGAAAGGAAGGAAGGAAGAAAGAAAAAAGAAAGAAAGAAACCTATCCAGTCAGTTTAGCAAGACCCTCCCCCTCACCCACACACACATTTGGTGTGCTTTCTCACTAATTTTCCATCCATTCAATATTACCACCATCTCACCTCCCAAACCCTCCTCTCCTACATACACCTTCTTAATTATAAATTCCTAGGTGTCCTCCCCATAATTGCTGTTGAGCCCAGTTCCATACTGAGCTCTCTTCTTCCACTGCAAATTTCTTAACAAAATTTATCTTTATCACTCCAATGTCTGGCTCTGTTTTTCTTTGACAAAATCCAGACCCTTCTTTATTATTACTAAAAATCAGGACCCACAGAAAATTTATTCCAAGAAAACAAGGCAACGTTGCATGGTGTGGCAGATTAAACCCAGGGCCTTGTGTGAGCTGCATTACTGAACTATGCCTCAGCCCCAAGGGAATTCTTAGTGAATTTTAAAGACAAGCATGAACATTTCAAGAATGTTAGAAGATAATGGCAGACAATCAGAGTGAGTCGGTTTGTATTTGGCCTTGTAACCAGAGTAAAGACTTTGATTTTTATTCACCATAAAATGGGCAGCCATTGCAGAATTTCTAGAAATGAGTAAAAATATTTGACCATGTTGTTAACTGGATTACTCTGTCAATGATGCCATCCAGGAATGAACTGGTTATAGACAAAGGTTGAAGTTAATAAGGCCACTCAGAACATGTAGCCAAAAGACTCTTGTTGAGGACGTCCTGCCATGAGTGATGTATTTGGAAACTGCCGTTTCTGGCTAATTCAGTGCTCTACACTTGTGATAGCGTCTAGGCCAGCACTGGAACTTGACTTACAGCTCCGAGACCTGTGTTCTTCCTATTGGCCTACATTACGTTTCATTGCTGTTTGCCAATAAGAAGGATAAAAATGGTGAAATGGAGACCAGAGAGATGGGTCAGCCTGACAACCTGACTTCAGTCCACTTTAGGGAGACAGAAGTAACTCCCGAAAGTTGTCCTCTGGTCTCCACACAGGCACCATGGTACACCACACACACACACACACACACACACACACACACACACACACACACACACACACACACACACACGAGAGAGAGAGACAGAGAGAGAGAGAGAGACAGAGAGAGAGACAGAGAGAGAGAGACAGAGAGACTTAATTTTGTTTGTTTTTTGAGACAGGGTTTCACTATATAGCCCTGGCTATGCTGGAATTTGCTCTGAAGACCAGGCTGGCCTCGAACTCACAGAGATTCAACCTGCCTCTGCCTCCCGAGTGCTGGGATTAAAGGCGTGCACCACCACCGCCTGGCATTTTATATTTCTATACATATAAAACCATATGATTTCTTACTTATATGGTTATATATTCTTATATTCAATCCTTTAAAACACATGTTTTTATAGGTCTGGGCATGTAGTTCAGTTGGTAGACTGTTTGCCTAGCATGTGTGGTACTCTGGTTTGATCCCCAGCATTGTATAAACTGGGCATGGTGGCACACACCTGTAATACCAGCACTTGTTAGGTAGTGGCAGAGGATCATCCTTGGCTTCATAGTAAGTTCTGTGCCAGCCTGGGACACATGGGACCCTACTTTTAAAAAAAAGTTTTATAAAAAGAAATAAAGTAATTACATTTTAAAGGGTAACAGGGCTGAAGAGTTGGCTCAGCAAGTAAAACACCAGCTCTCAAAAGTTTTCCTCTTGCTGGGTGGTGGTGGCACACGCCTTTAATCCCAGCACTCGGGAGTCAGAGGCAGGCAGATCTCTGTGAGTTCGAGGCCAGCCTGGGCTACAGAGCAAGTTTTAGGACAGTCAGGGCTGGTACACAGAGAAACTCTGCTCAAAAAAAAGTTGTCTTCTGACCTCCACTATAGCACCATAGCACACGGACACATACACACACACACACACACACACACACACACACACACACACACACACACACACACAAACAACAAAGGCAAAATACTGTCCTAGGAGATCAGGCATATGGCACACAACTGTGATGAGGAGATTGAAATGGGGATCAACACAAGTTCAAAGCCAAGGCTACATAGCAAGACTGTGTCTCAAAAACAAGTAAGTCAGGGCCGGGCAATGGTGGCACACACCTTTAATCCCAGCACTCAGGAGGCAGAGGCAGGCGAATCTCTGTGAGTTCGAGGCCAGCCTGGGCTACAGAGTGAGTTTCAGGAAAGGAGCAAAGCTACACAGAGAAACCTTGTCTCAAAAAAGCAAAAAAAAAAAAAAAAAAAAGACAAGTAACTCAGTGGTAGAGAATTTGCCTGGCTTAACCCCTAGCATCACAAAAACGAATAATAACACCAAAAAATAGTGTCATTGGGAGTTAATGGTGGGCAGTTATTTATCTGGGCAGTTAATTGTGGGTTTTGTTTATTCTTTACATTTTTTCCTATTATTTCAAAATTAAATATACAGTTTCAAACTCATGGTTTATTTCTAAAAATTGTAACTAAATTTTTAAATATTTTATTAGCATATATCAATTATACATAATGATAGTTTCATTGTGACTTCATATATGTACATAACATATTTCAATCAAAATCATATTCACCATGACTAGTTACACTCTCTTGTCCCCTCGAGATATTCCCCATCCTCTTCCTGACCACCAACCCTATCTGCCTTCATGTCTTTGTGTGCGTGTATGAGACAAATATAATTTCTGCAGAGCAGTATGACCCAAATGTTTCTTCAAGCTTGAGACATTCAAAGGCATCCCAAGAAAGAAAGAGACTGCTGGGCGACATTCACTGAATGGTTAAAGATACTTAAAGGCAATTACAATACAGGGAGAAAAAAATCTTAGGCTAGAACTGGCCTCCATCTCACAAATATCAAGGACGAAGGGGATTCTAGCCAAAGAGCAGGGTAGGCTCCAGCAGGGAGAGAATGACTAAGACAAGAAACATCTGGGGTAAAGGGGATTCTGACTCAAATGACGGTCCTTTTGCTGAAGGCAGGCCAGAGTGATCAGATAAACAGGCTAGGGAATCCTGCTGAACTGACCCAGCAGGCTCCTTGCTGTGACTATACTAAGAGGTGCAAGGATAGAGACTAAAGGTAAAGTTTAATCAAAAAGAGAAACCTACAGAAGCAGTCTAAGTAGAGAATTTGTCAACTGGTTCTTAGATGCTTTTTCTTGTTTTCCTTAAATGAAGAACCAAAACTCTACTACGATGCCAAAGCTTTCACTTTTCTCCTTCTCTCCCAAGGAACTAAAGAAAGGCAGTTTACAGATTAGCAGCTGTTCCCCAAACCTGGGTGCCTCTACCCTGGCAGGTGGCTTCTTGGCACTTTTGTGATGCGGAAATGGAGAAAGAACTGAAGAAGACCCTGTGTCACAGGTGTGAAAATAAATAACATGCTAATCAAGAAAGAGAAGCTAAGCCAATCTCCATAAAAAACAGTGAAAAGGAGAAGTGGGGGTGTAACTCAGTGGTCAAGCATTTGCCTGGCATCTGTGAAGCCCTGGTTTCCATCCCAGTATCAGAAAAACAACTAAATGAATAGTAAATTTATAAATAAGTACTATATTTATTAATAATAAAGAAAATAAATAGTCAAAAGTGCATCAGCGAGAGAGGAAGGCAGAGCCCAAAGCAGGGGTAGTAGGGCTGGGATTTCTGAAAGACTGCATGCTTGTAGAAAGTGTGCTATTCCCTGCAGCTCAAAGGTTCCCCAGAGGAATGTGTGCCTGTTGCTTTCTGATCTTTACCTTTCCAGAGAGACTGAAAATGAGTATAGTTATGCTAAATTTTCCACTTTGTAAATGTTGACATCTGATTCACAAATATTATTAAGCAATACTATTTATATATCATAAAACACATTTGTGAGCCTGATTTTATATTGGCCATTTTCTATCATCTGATATAGAAATATTGATAAAGCCAAATAAGATTGCCCTTCCCCTGAGACAAGGAAAGATGGCCTAAAAGTGAAGAAATAGAAAGGACTTAAAGTATTTGATGTGTTCTTAATAAAGGACCCAGCTTCCAAGATTCCCCATAACTCTAGGCCCAACCCCTGAGGAATGAAACTCCTGATGGTTTGGAAAGATTAATGCAGAATCCTGAGCTGGGTATCTAACCCAGTGGTAAAGCCCTGCTAAGTTTAACTTGAAGAAGGAAAATTAAGAAAGAAAGAAAGAAAGAAAGAAAGAAAGAAAGAAAGAAAGAAAGAAAGAGAAGAAAGAAAGAAAGAAAGAAGAAGGAAGGAAGGGAGGGAGGGAGGGAGGGAGGGAAAGGAAGGAAGGAAGGAAGGAAGGAAGAAAGAAAGAAAGAAAGAAAGAAAAGAAAGAAAGAAAGAAAGAAAGAGAAAGAAAAGAAAGAAAGGCAAAGATATTGTTATTGGAGAAAATAAATGCAAAGGTATCACTATCTAGGAGAGACAGAGAGAGAGAAAAATAAGCATATTTAAAGAATTTTTCAATGAGTGACTATAAAGCTACCAGAAGTACAGGAGAAGTGTAAGATAAGAAGCCATAAACAATAAGGTTGAGGTGACCATGGTGGCACAGGCCTTCTTCAGTTCCAGCACTCAGGAGGCATTAGCAGGCAGATCTCTGAGTTTGAGGCTAGCATAATCTACAGAGTGAGTTCCAAGACAGCCAGGGCTACACAGAGAAACGTTGCCTCACACCCCCCAGAATGGGCACCATGCAAAATAAACCCACATAAATAAGTAAATAATATATATAGATATATTTATTTTTTATTATTTAGTTTCATTTACTTGTTTGTTGTTTGTTTTTGGTTTTGTTTAAGACACCACCTGGCCTTTTGAACATTTTAAAAATACAACTTGCAATAATTGGATCCCATGTGTCCAGGATTCATAATGGGTAGCTTTTGGAGACTGTTGCTGGTTATAACTTATGAAGTCACAACCAGTTCTTCTTAAATCTAGACATGTCAGAGATATGAACCAAGAAATGTCCATCTGGGCCTGAAGAGATGGATCAGTGGATAAAGAGATTGTGGAGCAAGGCTGAAGACCGGCGTTCAGACTTCCAGAATCCAGGTAAAAAGCTTGCAAGGTTTGGTTGCTGCCTGTAATCCCAAACAGAGATAGTGACAAGATCATGAGGCAAGCTGGATAGCTAGAATAGCCGGAATCGGCAGAAAAAAAAATAGAGAGACATCAAGGAAGACACTCGATTTCAGCTTTGAACCTGTGTGTGTGTGTGTGTGTGTGTGTGTGTGTGTGTGTACAGTAAGTATGAGGACATGAGGTCCATTACCAAGATTTAAACAAAAAGGGAGCCAGGAGGTGGTACACACCTTTAAATCCCAGCACTCAGGAGTTAGAGGCAGGCAGATCTCTGTGAGTTCAAGGCCAACCTGGCCTACAAAGTGAGTTCCCAGGACAGCCAGGGCCATTACACAGAGAAACCCTGTCTCAAAAAAACAAAAACAAAAACAAAATCAACAACAACAACAACGAAAAGGAATCCTTTTCAGTAGAGACATGTAGGTGAGACCACTGAATTCTCTCCATTTATCACTGGTGTTATGATCTTCTTTAAAAATATTTTTATTGTAGGTGTAGGAGTGCTTTGCCTACAAGTATGTGTGTACACCACATGTGAGACTGGTACCTGAGGCCTGAAAGGAGTATCAAAGCCTCTGGGACTGGAGTTACAGACAGTTATGTGCCACCATGGGTGTGCTGAGAGTTGAATCTGGGTCCTCTGGAAGAGCCGCCAGTGCTCTTAACCGGTGGGTCATCTCTGCAGACTGTTTCAGTCTGCAGATGGGATTCAGTGACAGAGTGGTTGCTATTGGTTATGCCGCGGCGCTGCCCCTCGTGGCTGGTCACCGCCCGCGGTGGCCATGCCCGCGGAGGAGCGTGCTGATTAAAAGAATCATAGCCATGGTTACCTTTTTAGAGCTTTATTGGGGGGGAGAGACAGAGAAAGACAGAGAGAGAGAGAGAGAGAGAGAGAGAGAGAGAGAGAGAGAGAAGGGGGGAGAGGGAGCGCAAAGGAGAGGGGACAGAGAGCCCACAGAGGGCCCACCCACTTTTTAGGCTGGGAAGCCGGCGAAGGCTGATGATGTAATTAAAGGACATAAATAAGGACCAAATCCTTACATCCCAGACTTTCCCTTATTATAAAAAAAGCAGGTAGATGGGACTAGGGGTGTCATTCCTCTCAAAAACTGCTTCCAGCTGACTTTTGGACGTTGGTTGTCTCTTGGGGGAATGGAGAGGGGAGTTTTCCAAGGTAGACAGGCGTTGTGGGATGCTGTCTGTCATCCGTTTGCTCTGGAGACATGTATCCCTCTTGGCTGTGGCTGGGAACTTTCTGTTTGACAAGATGCTGGTGACACAGAAAAAACTTAGAGAGATAAAAGAATCATTATTATTTTATGTTGACATTTATCTGAGGTAGATCCGGCCTGTCCCTATGGATTTTGAAACATGTTAAGCTTTATCAGAGACAGATTATTTTAAAGTACCTGTTTCCTTTACTGGTTCAGCATCTAGGAGACAGTTATCAATTGTTAAAAGCATCTCATAGTAATAGATGTTTACATTAAAGTCTTTGTAGTGCCCAGACGCTTTTGGGTCTGGGGGTGTAAATACCTTTTAGCTGTTACAGTTTCTTATTTGATGATCTCAGGACTCCGGTTCTGTGGTGGTCCTGTACCATTAGCTGAACAGTAAGTTAGAACAGGAAACTGGGAAGAGAAAAGCTTGTGGTACATGAGAAATTTTTTTTTTTTTTTTTTTTAATTAGGGACAAGGTAAAGATCAGGGCCCTGTCTGTATGCACATGAGAAACACAGGCAGTGGATCTGGAGTGAAGCAATGAGGTCTTATTTTAGGTGGAAATCTTTTTTCATTAAGTAACTCTGAAAGTGCAATTAAATCAGGTGAGGTGGTAAGGCTGTCCTCTGTACCCGACAATAAAGGAGAGGTGGCATCCCAAAACTCCCAGGACTGAGTCAATGGCTCTGGTGTCCAGAAGGAAAGAATCGGATCGCTTCCCTGCTGCGTTCTGGGTTCCCTGCCATGTCTGTAGCCAAGCCTAGGTCTGCTGAAGGTCTTAGCTTGATGTACCCATGCATCTTGGTGCCTGGGGGCAGTCAGCTGACTCTGTCTTTCTAGGTGGCACTTTTAACAAGGCTGTGGATGGCCTGGCAGGGCATTCGCTAGCCAGTGGCCTTTTCCTCACTTAAAACAGGGACCCAACAGCTTTTGGGAGTCAGCGAGTGCCAGCACTTGGCAATTTTGTTTTCGGACTTTTATCTTTTCCCTGGCACACCTTAAATGCCACAGATGACTCTTCTGCCTGTGGGATCAGGAGCCTTGCTCTCCAGATGCTTAAGTTTTAGTTGGGGAGGTCTGGGGAACAAGAGACGAATTTTACTCTATGTCCTGAAATTTTTTTTTTTTTTTTTTTTTTTTTGATTTTTCAAGACAGGGTTTCTCTGTGTAGCTTTGCGCCTTTCCTGGAACTCACTTGGTAGTCCAGGCTGGCCTCGAACTCACAGAGATCCGCCTGGCTCTGCCTCCCGAGTGCTGGGATTAAAGGCGTGCGCCACCACCGCCCGGCTTCCTGAAATTTTTTTTTTTTCCCTGCTGATTGATGGCTTAAGGACAGCTTTTGGAAGATCTGCCAGTAGGCAGACTATAAACCGATCCTTTCCGGAAGAGTTGTCTGAGGCTATAAGCAGTTTTTTTGGCTTAAGAGCCATCCTGACTACTGTAAACTTATTTGTATCGATCTTAGCCGCTTTTAGACCCGTCTGTGCTTCTCAAGGCAGTTTGAGAATGAGTGGGTGGAGTTCAGGTGAGTTAGGGCGAGTCCTAGAAGCCGCCCAAGCCCGCCCATTCGAGCCCGCCCACCGCCGGTGGAAGTCAGACAGAAAAGGTTGCACGTGGAGACACAGAAGTAGGGAAGGAGAAGGGTTTCAGAACTTTAGCAGAAAGCTTGGAGATAAAGTAACTCTTATTTGCCCGTTTTCTGGCAGAAGTTCCCGAGACTCTGTTATGTGGCCAGATTTAGGCTGTTATGAGGCCAGGTTTACCGGTGCCCGCCCCTATCCACCAATATATCCGCCCTTTTGTCGCATGGCTGTAGCCGAGAGAAATAATAAAAAAATTAAAATAACAAACCGGGATCAGACTACAATCTTGGGCGTCCCCAAAGAGTGGAGAGAGATCCATGAATCAGCTCAAGTTCGCCATCCTCTTCGTCAAGGGATGCGAAGGGCTGCAGCTGCACCACAGTTGATCCACCCGGTAGACCAAGACATCATTTACTTTCTTGTCAGAAACGAAAATGTGCCCGTTGCTGGTGCAGCTCGAGGACAACCCCCGGGGTGTCCGTCACAAAGGATATAGCTCAGACTACAGCCGCGCGAGAACAAGGGACTTACTGTGGTGAAGAATCATGGCAGTGGCGGTGTGGGGGTCCAGTGGGGACGCGCGGCACGCTCGCAGTCTCGCTGGATGGGGGAAGAGGCAGCAAGCAGCAGCAGTCAGCAGGTCCTCGGTGTTCCGTGGTGTATCCGAGTCTGAACGGCACCAATGTTGGTTATGCCGCAGTGCTGCCCCTTGTGGCTGGTCACCGCCCGCGGCGGCCATGCCCGCGGAGGAGCATGCTGATTAAAAGAATCATAGCATGGTTACCTTTTTAGAGCTTTATTGGGGGGGGGGGGAGACAGAGAAGAGAGAGAGAGAGAGAGAGAGAGAGAGAGAGAGAGAGAGAGAGAGAGAGAGAGAGAAGGGGGGGGAGAGGGAGCACAAAGGAGAGGGGACAGAGAGAGCCCACAGAGGGCTCAACCGCTTTTTTAGGCTGGGAAGCCGGTGAAGGCTGATGACGTAATTAAAGGACATAAATAAGGACCAAATCCTTACAGTTGCCAGATGGCACAGGCTCTGATCCCAAGACTCCCCCTGCCTCTCTCACCCCCAAAAAAGATAGCAAGAAAGAATATTTCAAATGAAAAGTTGGACCCATGGTTGCCAAACAGTTTGTGGCTAACATTAACTGTAAACAAACAAACAAACATGTCCAAGGGAATTGTACATAAAAGACTGTGCTTTTTAATTTTCTCTATAGGAAATCAAACCCAGGGCCTTGCTAGGCGTGTGTGTGACTCAGACTATGCTGGCTAGTTTCTATCAACTTGACACAAGCTAGAGTCAGCAGAAAGGAGGGAGCCTCTATAAGATCAGGCAGTAGTCAGGCCTGTAAGGCATTTTCTTAATCAGTGATTGAAGGGGGAAGGCCCAGCCCATTGTGGGTAGTTTCTTCCCCGGACTAGTGGTCCTGGGTTCCTAAAGAAAGCAGGCTAAGCAGGCCAGAGTACACAGCACCTTTCCATAGCCTCTGCCTCGAGGTTCCTGCCCTGTTTGAGTTTCTGTCCCGACACCCTTCAGTGATGGACTATAATGGGGAAGTACAAGCCAAATAATCCCTTTCCTCCCCAGTTGGCTTTTTTGCTTGTTTGGTTTTGGTTTTGTTTTTTGTTTTTCGAGACAGAGTGTCTATATATAACCACCCTGGCTGCCCTGGAGCTCGTTCTATAGACCAGGCTGGCCTCAAACTCAGAGAGATCCACCTGCCTCTGCCTCCTTGAACTCACAGAGATCCACCTGCCTCTGTCTCCTGAGTGCTGGGATTAAAGGCGTGTGCCACCACCAACTGCCCAATTTGCTTTTGGTCATGGTGTTTCATCACAGCAGTAGTATCCCTAACAAAGATATACCCTTAGCCCAAATTGATTTATAAATTCGAAATTCATTAGGAGGTTGTAGCCGTAAGTTTTCTTAGGTCCCACCTGGCTCCGCCAGTCCCGTGTTCCTCTAGTCTGCCCAGGCCCCGAAGTCCCTCAGCCACTTGTAAAATAATCATTCAGAGGCTTAATATTAATTATCAACTGTATGGTGTATGGCAGGCCTCTTGCTAGCTAGCTCTTATAGTTTAACTTAACCCATAACTATTAATCTATGCATCGCCATGTGTTCCATGGCTTTACCTGCGTCCCATTACATATTGCTCCTAAGATGACAGTATAGTGTCTCTATCACTCTATCTTTCTCTTTCCTGTCTCTCTCCTTGGATTTCTTGCTTGCCTCTAAGCTGCCTTGCCACAGGCCAAAGCAACTTATTTAGTAACCAATGGGAACAACATATAGTCACAGTGTACAGAAAGACATCCCCCAGCACTTCCCCTTTTCTATCTAATCAAAAAGGAAGGTTTTACCTTTAATATAGTAAAATTATATATAACAAACAGTTATCAAGCAAGAATTACAGTTATAATATCTAGTCTATTTGTATTTGGCAAAATTAAAGAAAATATTTTATCATCTATCCTATATTTGTAAGTCTAAAATTTCATATCTAATTTATCTTTTATCATAAATAAGGAAAATTATAATTATAACTACCTAGTCTTCAACTATATCAAAGACCCCAGAAGGACATAATATTACCTAAGTAAACAGGAAGAGCATTGTAATCAACTTCCAAAAATCTAGATGACAGAGACAGCTGGCTGCCTGGACAGTCACCCAAAGTTCCTCTGCAATGTTGAGGCATCCATCTTCAGCCCATAAGCTTAGAGTTTCTCAATTGCTTCTCCCTGTATCTTGCAGATTGTCTGTCAGTCTCCCCTTGTTTTGGCAAAATTTAGTGGTCATTTTTCCATGAGTCCTGCATATCCAGTAGATACAACATTTTGTCAAGCAATCCAGGCAAGAACAGTTTCTTGCCCAAATGGCTACCTTTTGCCATAAGGAAAAGAGTTTATTCAATGCCCATCATCTTCTTGAAGTAAATCGGTACTGCCAGG